GACAGCATACTACCGAGATGTAATTAAGGCTGTTTGTGAGGATTCAGTTCACATTTCATGTGTAGCCCAGTGCATCAATTTGATTGCAGAGACCCTTCGCAAATTCACTCCGGAAGTGGACGGATTCGTTACAAAAAGGAAAAATGCTTCTCGTCTTTTGAGAAGAAAAAGGCGTGTCTACATTGAGTATCTAACTCAGGAAGGCATGAGTAACCCGATCAACCTATCTGCACCTGTCACCACCCACTGGAACTCCTGGTTGGAAGCTGTGGAACATCACAGCAAATATTCCCATCATTACCCAGCCATGTTGCGATGGACAACATGAGTTGGGAGACTCAGCTAGTGGTCGTGAACTTGTGGATATTCTTACCAAGGAAACAACATGGAAAACCTTGAAGTGGCAACTGAGTTGCATTGCGACCGTTGGCAAGAACATCATACGTCACTTCATTCATTCATTATACACTTTGGCTGTAGGTGGAGAACACAGCCATGGTGCTGCGATACATTAGAAAAGAAAAAAGACATGCAACAGATGCACGTCCGCTGTCACCAGTAACAGATGGACATCATTCCGGAGAGCTAGCAGCCGACTATTGTGTCGCAAAAGTCATATTATGCCTAATAATTGAGATCGTGGTTGGAGGAGGAGGCTAGGCGGAAGAAGGAGGGACAAAGAAACTCACAACACAAACGCCACTGAAATCGGTTCCTAGCCACATCAACAAGTGTATCTAGCCAAACGTGATCATCGTCCTTCGGTCCCCAACAAAGGAGCTGTGAGGCTCCAACCGAGGCAAACTTCGAAGTAAGGGCCTTCATTCCTCTTAACCAAGTAATCGCTTGACCCCGTCTCTTCTTCCATCCGCACCCCCGGCGCGCAAATAACGCACGTCGCTGGAGTCGGTGCGCTGGCATGCGTAACACGTGGCCGAGCCATCGGAGCCTGGTGCGCGAAATAACGGTTCGCTTCTTCTTCTTTTTGCGCCATAAACAAGGCGTCGAACACGCTTATTGCTCACACGTTGTTCCCAGCACATATGAACCAAAGTGCGAAGGCACCAGTGGTCGAATGTAAATAGCCTCTTTATGTCGGCTGATCTAATGGGACAGGTTTCACAACCGCACAGTAGGGTCGAACGTACGGCTGCATTGTACACTCTACCCTTCAGTGAGAGAGTGATGTCGCACCGGCGTCATAGGTGGCGGTTAGCAAAAGTGCCTCGTGCTTTTGCTATACGGTTTGTGACCTCGTCTTCAATTCCAACAGTGTTAATACAACTACCTAAGTAGTTGAACTTTTGAACGACTTCTAGCTGGTCCACACCAAGGGTCAGCCCTGGAGGCGGTCCCTGCCAACCTTGGAGGAAAACTCTGCAATTTGAGGGTATAAAGCATAGACCGAAACGGTTGACAGTCAGTGTTAATCTGTCCAGTGCCGCTGGGCACGTTTGGGAGATGTAACAGATGAGGACAATATCGTCAGCATACTCCAAGTCAAGAAGTCGTTCACCTGGAAGCAGTTCCACACCTTCTAAGTCGTGTCCAGTGAACGCGATCACCATGACTTCGTCGATAGGGAAGTTGAAGGGGAAAGGTGACAGCGGGCATCCTTGTCTTACACAGTTGATGATACTGAAGGATAACGACAGCTTGCCGTAAGCCCTCACTCTGCCCGAGCTACGCGCGTAAAGCGTTCGTATCAGTCACCTTAAAACTACCCATTAAGATTTATAACGACCTCTCCGATTTATCGATGTCGCTGAAAACTGGCTGCAGCATCTGTAGCCAGACGGACTGACCATTGAAGCGTCTAGCAAAATCCAAACTGACATGCAATCCTGCTTCTTTAGAGCTGTGGTAAAAGCTCAGGAGTCGCGGACATGACAGGCTAGCTGGCCACTTTTGAAAGACATTAGACTGCTCGACTTAAACCAGCTCATCCCCTTGTCCAGTGATCCATGCAGCTATACCGAAGCTTCACGCCTGGTTGGCTTCCAGCTCTGGCATCCGAATGGCTAATCTATCGAAAATTGGTGAAAGAACCGCATGGAGAAAAATGAGAAGATACGCTGGCCTTCTGGTGAGGGATGAATGAAAGAACTACACAAATGACGAACGTTGCCGGCATTTATCTATGCATTCCTGTGAATTCGGTAGGCACTAAACAGAGCTTCGGTGCCTACAAAAATGTTGTGTCAGACGAGCCTCACAACCTTTCAGACAGTAGCACAAAGCGATTTGTTGGGCTTTATTCGAATTCCTCCGTTTTGAATCATAACTGACATGTGGATGAGGGTGTCATGATTTCGGTTTAGTTTAGCCTTCGCGGTGAAATCACGTAATTTTATGTTAGCATCGCGGAAATTTAGCAAAGTTTTCGATTTTGATCGCGGAAAAATGTTTTACCACGGCGGAAAACTGGGGGTCTTTAGCCATAAGTTAATTTTCGGCCTACGTCTGCTAAGTTCGTTGCTCGGTGAGGGGTTACTCTGTCCTCCGCTATAAGTGTAAGTCATTAAATAATCCTCGATTTTATCGCTCAGACTGTAGGTTAGTCATAACGAAGCGGAGAAATGGAAACCAACTGAAGGGGACTCGTCCACATGGCAGTTGGCATAATGTTCGTTTCGAAATGGCTTCAGAGTCCCGGGCAAAGTTGCTTTAAGAGTTACGCAGCCTAATGTGGTTGCGGATACCGCTCGACCGTATTAGATCGTTAACAGTAAAAAGTAGACTATGGATTACCTGGTCTGAGATGAGTGAGAGCAAACAAGCTTGCAACAAAGGTGCGGTGCCGTCGTCCGAAACATGTGGTGTCAACGCCCTGTATTAATAAGCGGTAAACTGCCGTTCTACATGAGCGATAACCAGATCAATTTTTCCTTCACACCACCAAGCTGTCAAAAATGATTGAATGCAGCTAAAAAAGACCATTCAGCACACCATAATGTATCATAAACACTGACTGCCGAACCAGTTCAAGGTCCAATATCATCGCGATCCAACGGTGGGAAAGGGCGGGCAGTCTGCATACCGATGACGCATCCCTAACTCAGCACTTCATTAGCACCCTTGTTTTATTCTGAGTTCGGATTAAGACGAGTTTCTAAAACGAATATCGGGTAATACGAATGGACAATTTTCAAACCGCTTTTGATCCACTGAAACATGATGACAAAGGTTTAGTCACATTTGTGCAGAAAACCATATGGGCACGAAGATGTAATGATGTCAAATTGATGAAATTTGGTCACGGCCGATATCAGACGTCTCGTTCGTCAGCGATTCCAGAACGTCCGTAATCAATGTACGATGATGATGACAATTCGAGGCTGACAAAAGGTGGCAATCCGAGGTCAACGGCGTGTCAGCGGAGCGGATACATAATGCCACAAACATGGAGTGCAATCTAGAATGAGGAGCCAAAAATCAAATTAATGACGCCGTTGTCGTGTGTTAAGACAAATCACCTTGTTTGCTTTGGCTAAGTCAACAAAGGCCAGGGAATACGTAGTGGTGTAACCAGATGCTGTTGGCCAATCAGTAACCATACGGTAAAACGAATATGTTTGAGTAGTAGCAGTTCGATTAGGGCTCGGTTGATCCCTTCCAGAACGATGGACGCCAACCAAACCTAAGGCAAAGCTGGCCTCGACCCCGAGAAAGCCTAGGTAGACGTTTTGCGGAAAAGAAACAATCAGTAGTGGAGGTGATTGTTAACAATACCAACGAGAGGGAGGCTAAGCGATGTAGTGCACGAGAATGTCAGCCCATTGTTGAAAGAAAAAGCGGGTAACTAAAGATAAAAGTAAACTGAGGAGCCGCAAGCCGTCCGGTAAGGTGTAAAGGAAAGCGAGACATGTCAGCGGTGAATCAGAAGGGCAGCTTAAATAAATCTTACGATGCGATATATTTACGTGAGTAATGATAATAAGTTTCCGAATCCCCGGTGGCTGAGAGGCAAATCGTAGGTGATCAGTGTTAGACGGGAGTGACCTGATGATAACTGGAAGACTATCGGTTGATGCAAACCGAAGTTTGATCCAGAAAGTTGTTAAAAAGTAGCGAAAAACCCTGGTGATGCTCAGTACAAACAGCAGTTATTGTTGGGTTGGACCTAGCCGCTATACCAATGCAGCTGAGAAAACGGGAGTCAAGAGCTGCACACTTTGATACATATTTAAGCCTTAAGTAGGGAGGTGTAGTAACAGCCCTGGGGCGTTTCCACCAGTTCTCACAAGCGCTCGAAAGCAACTACCTTAGTGTTGGTGGCTGTAACACCGAAGATTCCTGCGGCTCTTCAAAGTTTCAGTCGCTTATAGACACGGTGGGAATTAAACTTATAGGTTAAGAAAAATAGCGTGCAACAATGAAGCGCGGCAGTACTGCTGTATAAAAGATACGATATCGGTGCCCCGGAGGGACAGTCAACCTTGTTTGACCGCAGATACCTGCGAAGTACTGATCATAGGTGGTGGGAGCACAGAATGTGTAACACATATTGAATTACCGTTCGGACCCGAATTGCCTTCGTTGGTTTGCAAGCGTGCTCCACAGGCCTACAAACTGGCCGTATCGTTGTGTATTGTGGACTAATATCACACCTAGTTGCAGGAAAGGCAATCGTGACCAGCCGGTGACATGGGGATAAGTGCATGATGAGCCAGATCGAAGTTTAAGGACCATTCTACGTGGAAGTCTCGGCGTGGGCCAACTCAGCGGATGAATATCCCATGGTATATAAAGCATCGGCAGTACACCGATACGTCCTAATAGTGCCTCATCACAATCGACAATCGCGCGTGGGCAGAGATACCGAGCGCCCAGTAAGCCACTGGTGTTCTTGAACGCATTCCAATGCTGCTGAACCTTAACTGCTCCACATGACGATTTTAAGCATTAGTGCATTTCGCCTGAATTCTTATTCTTTTGACAAGATAAGCAAGCGCACCCCAGTGCACGAAGCCCAGTTGAGTGGTTAAAATGAACTGGAATGAAACACGCATACCTCATTTTCTATGCCCATTTGTCAAGTCGTTTCTCAAATCAATTGATGCTCCCTGAAAAGATGGCAACTAATCTCAAGCTACATGCGATACCCTTACTTAGCAAAGTTGGACAAGTTTCCACTCAGAAGCTGACGAGAAGAAGAAGGAAATAGGTGCAATGTAAAAGAGAAAACCGAAGCAGTAGGCAAATAAGGGGGTGTGCGAAAATGTAGGCATTTGCTTATAAGCATACGAAGAACATGAGGAATCGTAAGAAAGGCGGAAAAAGTGATGACACGTGTGAACACACAAGCAAGGGGAGGAGTGGGTAGTACGCTGAGCGTAAGACGTGGCAGCCATGGCAAAAACACCAAGCTCAACATAAGTCAACAAACACGGAAAGGTAAAAGATGCAACGTGAGGATATTGTGTGGTGCATCTATTGAAAGAAGACAGAGGATGAATGCCTTTTACCAAACACGCCCGCAAGCATGCTGCAGAGCTGAGCTTCAACAAAAGTACACGCTTGCCCAACTGATCGAATTGTAAAATAGCGCTGCGTTAGTGGAAGAATATAGGCAGGAAAAGACAATGAGACGATAGTGAGACGAGTCAGTTGAATGAAGACAAACACCCATGTGGATGCTTAAAACTCGGATAGATGACGTCCGTGCATCACGGGACCACAGCCAATGGGACGCACCAAGTGCATACGTAAACGTGGATTCAGCTGAGTAGCGTCACCAGGCGGCCAGGCCGAGTACAGGGAACTCGTGCTGGATGGCATTCCAGGACCGGCAGCGAGCTGAATAGGCGTTTGTGGTGAGGCTCGATATGCCTGATACGACGGTGCACGCACGCACGATCCGGTTCCGGTGTAACTAACAGGTGAATGGTAAGATGATGTTGTAGGGGCGGTTCTACAAAGATGAGCTGTGCCACAAGAAGTCCCATCAGAGCGGAGCATACGAACAGAGTGAACACACTCAGCAGAGGAGTCGCAGTTGCTGTCGATGGCTAATTGGAGACGTTGTCGAAACTTGGCCAATAAGGACTCCTGGTGCTGGATGCGGAGGGTCGCTAGACTGAGACGGTCTAACTGGCGACGAAGAACCTGAATAGAAAAACGAAAAGCAGTGAGTAAAAATAAGTGATAAAACGACATAGGAAATATTTATTGGCGAAGGACAGGGTACATTAGCAGGTTGGCGAAAAAGTGACGGGCAACCGGAACTAGACAACAAGCTTCTGTAAGCACACACAACTTCCACAAACCAATCACGTTCTTCCGTTGAAGGTGCCATAGTCCAATTCACAGTGGAACTAGCGTGTGAACAGAGTTCAACTGTGTTCAGAAACATGGCCAATGATGCAGGAGACTGAGGTTCAGGGAAGGAAGACAACAGAGTTGCGATCGCAATTAAAATACTTGACGAAGGAGTGGACAAGTTTCAAAGCCCTCAGATGACTCGAACGGTCGCAAAAGTGCGGACGAAGAGATGCCTAGGTACAATGATGAGCAGCAAGCATTACACAAGATAAAGTGATTGTGAAACCGCCGTTTAGGTGAATTAATGATAACGCATTATTCCCACAATTTAAATGGACTTCAAAAGCCTAGCAGAAACTGCGATGGATGCTGTGTCGCTAGATCGGAAAAACAGATTGGGTTGAATCAGCACCTTCTTCACATCACCAAAACAACATTACATCAATGAATTGCAGTGGTGATGTGTCGCATCCGGACCAACAGCATGGACCAACTAATGAGAAACAAGAATGAAGAAAGAGAGGCCTGGTGCAAAACTGAAATATAGTAAGCAGAAAAAGATTTAGGTGTCTATGCCCTGCCAACATCACATGACTTCCTCGCGGCATTCATTGTCAAGTGCCATAAGCAGATGGAATGATGTAAGAGAACGGGTCAGATAATATTCACGCACGGATCCAGAACACAAAAAGACGGTTAGAAGTCGGGCGAAAACGTTTGCTATGTGTTGACGCGGTGCCGATTGGTGACTGCTCTCATTGGTCCCGGATTATAAGTATTATTATTTCGTACCTTTAGTTTTGATTGGGCATATCTGTCTTATTCTTTGTCCGATCCTCCTGCGCTGCTATCCAACTCGTTGTTTTACTGATAGCCTATGAAAAACATAAGCACATTATTGGATTGGGCAAAGGATATTTATTCCTGACCCTCATCTATCGAATCATATCCCATGCTCATCATATCCCAGCCCAGTTAGATGAAAGATCTGTGCGCGTATATGAGACGTGGACATATTGGGGAGTCAGACATTTGATACTCCTTCACTAATCCATTTAACTAATGTTCCTAACTTCTCTTTCTCTTCTTTATTTTTCTACCTGTGAAAAGCATATAATTGAATAATCTTTCATAATGGTTAGCTGTTCCACGCTAAGTATTCGTTTGTTGACTGCTCTCACTTTGGTGTGAAAGTTACAGTTACTTGCTAAGGTGGTAACCTTTTATTCGCATTTTTCTATATACAGTTTCTTTACTCCTCTAGTCATCATACCTCTCTCCTCATTGAATGATCTGCCTGAAAGAGATTCAAGGTTTCTGGATTGTCATTTGATTTGAAAATTAAGCTTCATGTGCCCGGATGGGTGCATTTTATACTATAAACCACGGTTGGGCTAAAATCATACCAATAAAAATTCAAAAATGCACAAATGGAAAAATAAAAAGGGAAAAGACGCACAGATATCATCCGAGTAAACGGACCCGTATCCCTGAGTAACGATCTCATAATGCTGGAGGGAATCATCTGGATTTGTATCCACCCGACAAGGCAGCGTTTTAGCAAAAGCATTCATGATAATTTGCTTCAATTTGTTTGTAAGTTAGTGGCCGAAAGCAAAGAATCGATAATTGTGCGCAGCAGCCTGATACCAGTAACAAAAATCAACGGAGTAAGACAGTTGTAGCGACCTCGAAAATAGTTCCGCTACAGTAATCCAAATCTTTTTACAAAACTTGTATATCCACAGTAGATCGCGCAATGTTTCAATGAAAACGGCAATATTGACACAATGGCCCAGCCTTGTTGGAACGAAAGTAACGGCGACAGTAACGATGGAGAAGGAGCTACATTTGTCGTTGTAAAACAATGTTAGCAATACCAGATTGAATTTCCTTTATATCTCACAATATGATTAGTTTCGCTGGGTCGTGTTTCACCTTGTTGAAAATATGGTTGGCGGCATCCGGTTCCGGATTTGCCTGTCACTGCGGCCTCCACAGGACAGCCACAAGACGCATTCCTCTACACAGAGACCATGGGTGACTTGCGCTGCACCACCCACACACCCCATACCTAGTGTAAACCCGAAAAAATAAAACCGGGAGGCATGTGGATGGGATTCAGGTTTCATCAACGGAGCCGGTCTATACTCCTTCACAGGCAAAGATATGCACGCTGTATTTGGGGAATCAAGCACGCACAAGGCGGTGGCTGGACCGTGGTCCGATCCATACTGGATGGAACCACCCCTGGAGCCTAACACAGCCACGAGGACCGTGCACCCCGTCCTCCAGAAACGATCAACTGTCTCCTGTTAAAAATATGCCTATTAATTAATTCAAAGACAACTCAGTATCAGACACAGTCTAAACAGGCAGTCTAGCCATCAAGCAAAAGCAAACGCGCCACTACTCTAGCCGCGAATTACATCGGCAAGGTCATGAATCAAGCACAGATAGTGTGGTGAGCTCATTTTAGAAGGTAACAGTAATCAACGGCGCCCAATAGTGAGGTCAGTGCCACACTTTCCCGTTCACGATTGCTACAACTGCACCATCTTGGATCGGGCAAAAAGAGGTCCTCATAGGCTAGTTTTAACAACAGTATATCCAGCAGCCAGGTACTTTGTAACTACGCCTCGATGCCACCTGAATTAACCGAGGCTGGAACCGTTAACTTGTAATCTACAGCCACTTTGAGCCAATTGGCGGACGGGCGACAAGCAAGTTGTGGACGGGTGTACAAAGCACGTGATCAGACCGATGATTTTTTCGGTCTTATTTATTGATCAACGGATAGACCTGACCGCCGCCAGATATATGCCGTAGAAAGTTAAGTTTGGCACCACAGTCACATTTGCTTACTCACATACTTAAGCAATACATGGCGAGCTGCTATTTATAATTCTCGGCCGTGGGTCGCGCAGCACCTAGGACCTACTGTATATCTCGATAAGGGATGTTACTGACCCGCAACAAGCAGAGCTTAGTGCATATGAACAGGGACCGATCAGGGCACCCGCCCAATCAGAGGTGAGGGTATGAACTACAGAAGGGGCTATCAGTTTAGCAAGGTCAGTCAGGCGCACGTGTTCGCGCCCGGCAGACTGTCACCTAGGTAATAGGAGATCTAGATTGTCACTTCAATGTGCATCAAAATGCTCGCGTAAACACGCCAGGAGATCCATATCCGCGCGGATTAGAGTCGAGTCGCGCGTAGGCCACAGATCAGCAGATAATACACGGTTCAATCGTATATGTCGGTTCATTATGCGAGTTCCCATTAAGTACACCTTACCCCAGGAGGTCCACCCTAGCGCTGATAATGCATCGAGTCGGATCAGGTTGATGTCGGATAGCAGTTGTTGTGCTTGAAACTCTGGATGAAAAGTGGATCGCAGAATTTTCAGATCCTCCGTCACGAGGGCTTAGGGTAAGCTGTCACAGTCTTTCAATATCTCCAATGGCGTGAGATAAGGATGCCCGTAGTCACTTTTACTTTGCAACTTCGCTACCGAAGAAGCCATGGAAAGTATAAGATGTGGAGCTACTGCCAAGTGATCGAATTCCTGACTTGGAGAATGTTGACGATATTGTCGTAATCTGTGACAGCTCACAAACGTATCAAGTAGCACTGAACGTATCAGTAATTGCTCTCAACCGTTTCGAGCTTTGCTCTGAACTCTCAAGATTCAAATCCGTACCCCAAGATTTGCAGGGTCTACCCATGAAGATTGGTGGGGATGAACTAGAAGTGGTTGATAAATTAGACTACCTAGGCGGCCACATCAAAGTCTATAGAATAGAAGATGAAATGGCGAACTGTAAAGCAATAACCCGAGGCTCTTTTGCCTAAATTCGCCACTTTTGGTGCCAGTGCGACATCACTCTCGTCCTCAAGTGTGGAATCTATGACGCATCCGTCCGTCCAACCCCCTTGCGATGTTGTGAAACTCGGTCCATCAGGTCAATAGACAAACCGGGACTAACTGTATTCGATTACCGGTACCTTCGCAGCTCAGCTAATGTCCAGTGGGAACACAACATGAGCAATAAGCGGGTTCGTCGTATCGTTGTAACGCAAAAATGAACCACTCCGCAGTTGTTCCATGCACGAAGCTCCGATGGTCTGGACATATGCTACGCATACTGACACACGGACTATTTCAAATTGCGATGTTTGTGCACCCGGAGAAGAAAAGGAGGAGAGGTCAGCAGATGACTTGATCAAAAAGAGTGAAGGTTCTCACTTCGAACTTGGTCACGAATGGTACATCCTAAATCCTGGGTAGGGGTCCGAAAAATAACGAATATAATTGGTTGGACACACTTGACTCAGCGAGGAGCCGACCTCAATAGTGTTTCAGTTGAGTTTCTTTGTCCCCCTTCAAACACGGGCTCACTACTGATGGATAATAAAAACACCAAAGTGCTTTCGAGCGGGCAACCACCAACATTTGGCCGCTTCGTCATTTACAGTCCCAGTGGTCAAACTGACCAACGTTCACTTAAATGTAAATCGCGGTTTACATTAAGATTGATTGCCACCACCCATTCACACAACAAGTGTTTCAAAATGACCCTTCAAATCACTACACAGGTAAGGACGTGAGCTTAGACGCTAGTTAAATTCGCCAGTCAAAAAGTCTTAAATTGTCCCACACAACTCGACTCGTAAGTTTGCAGTACCAGCATGTTTTAGTCAGTAGTATGACTGCACTGTACCGTTTGAATGTGCTTGAGAATGGCCGCATACATCATTTGACGATTTTGACTAGTTGCCAAATTAGTTTGACCAGAACAAAGCATTTACTTTTCGAATTCATTATTTATTTTGCACATCC